ATAAGGATGCATATTCTTTGTGTTCTTAAACAAGTAATATTCCTGTGGTATTCTAAATAGGAAAAGCTAATCCAAACAATGGTTGCATTACTAGGTTGGGAGTGGGACAGGTTATTGACGGATAAGAGAAAGGGACATTAAAGAAACTGGAGTGATTTTAATGTTCTGTATTTTGTTGTTGGTTGGTGATAAAGAGGGGATATTTTTGTTTCATCAGGTGGTATATTTAAGATTTGTTTGTTTCATTGCATATCAGTATTATATAGTTAAAAATGTAAATAATTATTTGAACTGTAGTCATCTACATGATGAAATTGTAGATGAGAAAAAATATAGTTTCTAATATTGACAAGGTTTTGGGAAAAACAAATACATTATTAGGAATTTAAATCAGTACTGTAATGAAAAGAGTTTGAGTATGTAAAAACATTAACAGAAATTCATAAATGTGCCTATTCCTTGACCTAGCAATTCTACTGGTGGAATTTCATCATAAGAAAAATAATCAGAAATATGCAATAAAATATGCATCAGGATATTCAGCAAAGCGTTATGTTTAATATAAAATCTTGCCAAAAATTTAGATATCAAGAGGCTGATTGCTTATTATGGGATAGGTATAAGATATGAGATGCATGCCTTTGCAATCATAGTAAGTGTACTGATTGATAGGAGAGTCAAATCACAGTAGTATATTGTTTTTACACAGTATTTGGTAAATTATACCCTGATGGTCTAACTTGATCTGCTGCCTATCCCTGTAAATAAAGGTGTTTTTGAGACAGGGTCTCATTATGTAGTTCAGGCTGGCCTTGAATTAACTATGTAGTCCAGGCTGCCCTCAAACTTATGGCAGTCCCCCTGCCTTAGCCTTCCGAGTGTTAGGATTACAGGTGTGCACCACCACACCCGGCTAATAAAGTTTTATTGAAATACAGACATGTTCACTTAGTTATATTGCCTGTGATGCCAACTTAAAGATGAGTAGTTGCAACTTTGGTTCACAAAGCCTAAAATATTTACTGACCTATGGTTTAATTGAATTAATTTAAAATTTAAGACTATAAGAAGACGTTACCAAAATTCCTTAAATTTATAAACATTTACCATCTACCCAGTTCTGCATAACAGCTATCTACTTAAGTGTAATTTAAATTGATTCACTTCTTATCCTTGTGGTGTTTAAGTGTAATAGAAGAGATAGTTATCAAATAAATATTTATATTAAAATTATTACTAATGCTACGAAGAAACAATACACAAAGAAGCTTTAATAGCAGTTATTTCTAAGTTTTGATAATACTGTTGAGTGTAAAATTTTTCTAAGTTTTCTAGTTTTTTATATTTTTCAATTTGTCATTGAAAAAAGTAATGAAGATTTTGAGTAGATAACCAGACATTTGTTTCTTCAGAACATTTTAACCATTTTTATAATGTTGCTCTGAATTTGTAGAATTGAGTTTAATTTACAATTTTCAAAACTAAGTTTGATACCATTTTTATTAAATATTTGTTGGAGCTCTGTCGAACCTGTTCAACAGAGAAGCTCTTTGGAAGCAGAACGGGTATCTGAGACTTGCTTTTGGTATCTTATTATCAGGTTGATGAGAGACAAACTAGGTACATAAAGTAGAATTACACCATCCATAACAATTTGTAATAAAATGCCTAGATATTAGTTTAGGAAAAATAAAAACCAGTGGAATTGTGATTTAGGCACCTGAGACTAGATGAAGGGTATGGCTGTCACTTGGATTTCAGAGTGTGCCTAATCATCTGAGTAAGTATAGAGAAGTTGGGAAAACATTTCATATTTCAGATTTGGATTTAGGGGGACAGAAATGAGAATGGGCATCTTTGTTTCAGATGCGATAGCATTAACTCCTGGCATTGATTAAAATGTCAGGCTCCTGAATAAGGGTGACAGTTAACTATAAGGTAGTTCTGTCTACACAGTTAACTGTGATATGTTTTGTTTTTCACTTTTACAGATGTTCTTAGGCATGTATTCTTAACCTCTCTACAGAAATTAATAGATTTATCAGATTTTAAAGTTAAACATAGCAAGTCTTCAAAGTTAAGGAAAATCTCTCTGGCCTGAGAATGGGTAAATAGTTAAACCGTAACTTATAGTAGTCCTTCTTTATTCATGGTTTTGCTTTCTGAGGTTTTAGTTATAAGTAGTGAGCCATGGTCCAAAAATATTAAATGGCAACTTCCATTCTGAATAATAAACAATTCATGTTTTAAATTGCATACTTCTCTGAATAACATGGTGTAATCTCATGCTGTTGTGCTTCTTTCCACCCAGGATGTGAATGATGCTTTTGCCTAGGATATCCATACTGTATATATATGCTATCCACCTATTCATCACTAGCTCTCTTAGTTTTCAGATGAGCTGTTGTGATATTGGAACATCTGTGTTCAGATAATCCTTCTGTTTCCTAGTAATGGCACCATAGCACAAGAGTCATGATGTAAAGGAGGCACCAAGGTATAAAACATGCAGGGATACATTAACACTATAGGACATGGAGGAAAAAACATTGTATTTGTAGGTTTTGATACTACCTTCAGACTCAGTCATCTACTAGGGATCTTGGAACTTGTCCTCTGTGGATAAGGGGAGACTACTGAGTTCTCTTAATTTAAAGTGACTTCTGTTTACATAATCTGAAAGTTCACATGGTCATGCCACTTTTTCCCCCTCTTAATCAACACTAGAAGTTTTAATCTGCATTCTAATACTTGTGTGTATCTTTAAAATGCATAAATGAATAATCTTTACATTGAACTTCATCCTTTTGATTTTTTACTTTGGTTTTAATAACTAAACTAAAAAACAGAACAAATTTAATTCTGAGTCTACATTGATAGATATCTTTCTTTATCTCAGCAATCTCTGCTAGCAAAGTTTAAGAAAATTTGATAGAACTTGACTAAAATAGACGACTTGGTAGGCCCTATCTTTCTATAAGCTTTCCAGATTATCTCACCCAACTTCAGCCTTTTCTTTACTTTCTTTTTTATATAATTCACTTATTATTTTATTATTATAGTGATTGTCACATATCAATTGTACAAATCAATGGGAATCACTATGATCTTTTCTGTACATGAGTGTAACGTGCAGTGATGATGTACATCCGTTCATCTTCTACCATTCCTCTCCTAATTCCTATCCCTGCTCCCCCAGCACCCTTCCCAAATCCCTAGAAATCCATCTTCTGCTTTAAGTCCCCTCTAATCTGTTTATTTTTATTACTTTTTGTTTTGTCTTGTTTTCACATATAAGACAGAATAAGGAATATTTGACTTTCTGTGTGTGGTTTATTTCACTTACAGTATCTTCTCCATCTGTTTTCCTGCAAATAAAAGTATTTCATTCTTTGTGGCTGAATAATATTCCATTGTGTTTCTGTATTGAATTTTTTTTATACATTCATTTGTTGACAGGCACAAAGGCTGATTTCATATCTTAGCTATTATGAACAGTGCCACAATAAACATAGGCCAGCAGTTATCTTTTGTATGCTGACTTCATTTTCTTTGAATATATACCCAATAGTGGGATAACTAGATCACATGGCAGTTCTATTTTAAAAGCTTTAACACACCCACACATATTACCAAATTTTACCTAATTTTTGCCGATATATAAAATAATTTAGAAACTGATCTGATCCAAGGTTATTGATTGCAGTTGGTTGGAAGCAAAAGAAATGCCCCCATCACTGTGTACATGCACACATGTACACATGCGTACACACACAAACACACTCAAACATGGCTGAAGCCAAGTGTGGCAGCACACATCTATAATTCCAGCACTCAAGAGGCTGAGGGTTGCAAGTGTGATGTCACCCCGGGCTGCATACTAAGTTTGAGATTAGCCCAAGCTAAATACAGAGACCATGTCTCAAAAACAAAAAAGCAGCCCAAACTTTATTTTTCTCAAGTAGCAAGTCTTACAGATGCTTAAAGTATTTTCCATTAGCAATGAGTTGCCGCACATCTTCTGAGGGATGAAGAATACATAAAGGACATCTCACATAGTCATTGGATAACTTGGCTTATCCTGTGTAAATATCCTCATGCCAAGACTTTCTTACATTCTTTACAAAAATCATTTCCTCATCAGTTAGCATTTGCTTATGTGTCTTATTATCTCTTGACTTTCTAAACTTATCCATGTGTTTATTAGTAAGTATTGCCCTGTTCAGTCAGTCCTGTGCTTTTATAGCTCCACAGCATGACATTGCCAAAAAGCCAAGTCTTGCATAGAATTAAAGTGATAGCAGAATCTTTAAATATCATATTTTCCAAATTTCCTTTATGTAAAAGGTAGGTAAATTACTAGCTTAAGGTAAAATCATAGGTTAATATCAAGCACAAATTAGAATCCAATTCTCATGTTTTTAGTTGTCTTTTTTGTGCGATTATGTTTTTATTAATACATGTTTGTAGTACATAGTGTTAGTCTTTCTAAGCCCACTACATTTTTGAACTTTTGACATTGTGATTTCATTTCTATTCTGACTTTTCCAGTTAGACAGTAGCTCTTTACTGTACTGGAGAACTATGCCTCTATTAAATCAGTAGGAACAGTTTTATTCAAATTCAGTACAAATTAGTGCAATCACAGCTCTTGTTTACTTTTTTCTTCACTTACTTACACAAATGGAACAAGTTTATCTTAGAAGAAGGGTCAAGGCTGTATTTGGAATTTTGAAACTTACTCTAAAAGGAGATAGAACATTCACTGAAGCCTGATCTGTATTGGTACAGGGTACAAAGATATGTTGTATCCTATTCATTGCTTGACATATCACCCATAGACGCATATTATATTTAGCTCATAAAATTTAAACTTTTAAAGATTAGAATATCTGATCTTATTGATTTGAACAATCATACATTTTGATGTTCTAGTGTGAAAAATCTGATCAGTCTGTTTATGGTCTCAGATTAAGTTATGTAATTTTTTTCAGTGTTACCTTTTCCTTTCACATTTTTCCTGGTCATATGTGTTCAGATGATGAGATTGAAATTGTGTCCTTACTGTAGAATTTATGTTGCTTTCATGATTGAACTGCATTTGATCTTCATCTTTCACATATAAGCCATATCCTTGGTCTTCAACCTCACTGTACATCAGAATTATCTAGAGAGTAAAACAACAGAAGTAACAACAAACATACAAGCCTCTATTCCCAAAGAAAGGTAATGTTACATTTTTTTTAAAGCTCTCAAGATAATTTATATGTAGTGCCAAGATCGAGAAACAATTGATTAGCCAAAAGAAAAATTTCTCCTTAAAACAGCGTAGAGGAACAGGCCACATGAATTTTACTCACTTTATAACCATCCCCCCAATTGATACTTACTCGTAATTGAACCTAGGGTCTTCTCACTAAACTGGATCTCCAATCCTCCTTTTTTATTTTGAGACAGGGCTCATGAAATTGCCTGGTTTGGGCTTGAATTTGTAATCTTCTTTAAGTGTCCCGGGGTGCTGGGATTACAAATGTACACCACCACACCTGGCTCATTTATATACCTAAAAGTTACATAATTTACTACGTAGAGCACATTTTTCTATATGAACTTACTAGGTTTTGGTTGTTTTTGTTGCTATTGTTAGTGTTTTTTGTGTGTATATTTTATTTTTCTTAGTCTTTACTTCCCTTATGTCCATCGTGGAGGCTGAGTCCTAAATGTGTTAAGAATTCTTAGCGAACTTAGAAAATGATGAGCCCAGGTATGTTTTTGAAATCTTAAATCTTGACCCCCTTTTCATTTTATAAATTATATGGGTTATCCCTTTACTAATCTCATGGTACACAAACTTTACCCTCTTTAGCAACTTCACCCTCTCAGTGTTCTATCAGTTCATTCTTTGATTTGTCGTTTCATCTGTAGATTTTAAACCAAATGTGCAGAGATTGATTTTTTTTTTTTTGGTACCGGGGATTGAACTTAGGACCTTGCACTTGCAAGGCAGGCGCCAGAACCACTGAGCTAAATCCCTAGCCCCAAGAGTTTGATTTTTGATCATTTTAGATTCCTGAGTACATGGGATGTAATGTGAGTGATTAGTGTATAAATGTAGTGAAGAAAATTATTGTGGCCCATTAGAAGTTTTTAATCAGCATGTGTATGTATTCTCTTATCAGGATGATGATTCTGTCACTGAGCATGGTAGATAAAGTTTCCCCTACTGGGAAGAAAAAAATTGTGTGGCAACACTCATATATACCAAACTGTCAAGTTACTATACTTTTTTTATATTGTCCAGGTAAATTCTGTTATACTGTCCTGTTATACATACATTTTAGACTTGTCTATGCCCAATTTCACTAAAAAAAGGCTGAATCTAAAAATACCGTTATTATGTTGTCTAGCTTGGTGGGCTTTATCAGTATTTCTTGCGAACCTATTTCAATGTCAAATAATGGTAAATAGCTGAAGTAGACACGGGGTACTTCTTGATATTTTGACTTTAAAGGAATGCTGGTTTGCCAGCATAGATTGTATTGGGTGGTTTATATAGAGTTAATTTTTATTAAAATGGATTCTTCACTTTTTTCATACAAATTTTAGCATGTCATTTAATGAATGTAAAGTTATGTAAAGCATTTATATTAAATAGACTTGTTAAGTATGTCTTTTCTATCTGTTACCTGATTCCTACTGAGTGTTAATATTTAGATATTCATTCATGTTGTGTATCATTCAGAAGTATACCTGTTTTTCTCATCATCTTCATCTTTGAATTATCAGTTAAAGAATGCATTTCATAATAATTTTTTCAGTAGTGGATGGAATATATCAGTTTTCTTCTTTTCATTGTCTTTTGGTTCTAAAGGAAAAGCTCCAGAGTATAAGGAAATAGGTCATGTTACCCATAAACTGGAGAGGAACTGAAGTCGGTTATGAAGTAAAACTTGAATCTCAGTTGCCCTCTAGGGGTTCAGCTTTAACACAACAGCACATGTTGGAAATAACGTAGTGAGATCTTTTGGAGGAAGGTAGACCTGCTGAACAGAAGAGCTCTATTTTTCATTTTCTGTTAGAGTATGACTGGGTAATAAAAAACTGTTCGATTAATATTAAAAGTGAGGATATATGCAAAGTTTTAAAGGTATAGGTATGTTAATATTGCTTTTTGTTGTTGTTTTTAAGGTGAGAAAGTACCTGTGCTGGAACAACTTAGCCATCAACACAGTTTTGAGAATTGTTTGATCAACCTATGATTCTTGTCTAACCCTCCGGCCTTTTCAGTATCACCTGTATAACACTTCTAGGTTAGTTATCTTCTCTGTTCTGGCCAGCTCCAACAACAGCTTCCATTGAGGTGGTTTCTTCACAGGTCCTTTCTTATGTCCATAAGATGAGATCATCGTGAAATGCTTTTCCTTTTTGTTTCAGCAGCTTTGACTAATATTTTATCTAGATTGGTGAGACTCTGTCTCCGGTTTGAAACAGATTACTTTGCTTTGATTGAGGTCCAGTTAACTCATGTTACAATCAGTGTCTGGTGTGAAGTTTTCTGCTTTGTAATTGCAGAATTAGACTCCTGTTTTGGTAAGAGGAAAGTTTCTCTTACCATTACTAAAAATATTAACTAACTTGACTTGTGTGAATGATAAATATGGAGTTTATTTTGTGTGCAGATATTTCAGTCTTTTGAACATATCAGATTGGAAACATTGCATGATTATTAATATATTTTTAAGAGATTTGTGTATATATTAACATGTGTTCTTGTATTCCCTTTGAAGGATTCTATAAAATTTTATCCCTCTTAATGTACAGATACTTTTTTTCTTTTGTAGTTATATTGAGCTTTTCTAATTTTTCCCTTGTAATAATGAAAAAGACCTGTATTATTAATGGTTACTAGCTTTATTTTCTTCATTAATTTTTAATTTATTTTTAAAGTTGTGGTTTTATTAATTATTTTTCTGTCTAAAAATCTCCATTAGGTTTTTATACATATTAAATTGGCTATAATGTGGATGTGTTCTCCAATATGGTAGCCAGTAGTCACATTGGCTATTTAAATTTAAACCAAATTTAAAACTCAGTTTCTTGGAAGTACTAGCCACCATTCATATGATCACTAGCTGAATGTACATGATAGCCTCACTGGACAACAGACATCGATCATTTCCATCATTGCAGAAAATTCTATTGGACACATCTGGAATAGATATATTAATCACCTTCAACATGTTTTTAAAACTATCTTAATACTAGTAGTTCTCTGAGTGAAATGAGTTGACTTATGAAAACTTTGTGGCTTTATATTCTCCTTTATCAAAAGAATTTTTGTAAATAATTAAAGCTGATTACATATGAAGTGATTTTACTTTTATTTATTTTGAAGATTAGAATATATTTCTGATTATAAATCAAGAAATGCCAACTATTTTAATAAAAATTATATATTTTTGAAATATTTTAATACTTTCAATTTATCTCCATCTTGTGGTAGAAACATATGGAAATCCTGTACTTAAGAATATAGTTAAAGCTTATTCATTTTTATATTGACATGTTCCTTCTTTTTCCCATTACTGTAAATTTAGCATTAAGTGTTAAATGTTTACTTGGGAAGTTTGGAGTCTTACTCAAGGAGCCAATTAAAAATAATTTTAGGTTTTATGTTTACTACTATAGTAAAGTAAAATTATGAACTGCGGTTGCCATATTCTGAATATGTATTGGGATATTAAAACAAGAAATGTAAATATTTTAATCATGGTTGAGATGAAAAACGAAAAAGCTTTAGCTATCTGCTTGAAAATGTAGCTTAGTCTTATTAAATAAAATTATAATAAATGTGTTTATATGATGAGCTTATAAAGTTTGATAAATTGTTTCTTGCTGACTATAATAGCTTTTTAATAATTTTCATTTTTATAGTTCCTAGTTTTTAAATGTGCTCACAGTTCTTTTGTGGAAAAATCATATGATTAATTTTGAAAGTAAAAGAAAGCGTGAGTATTACAACAGTTTGTAAACTGTGGCAATTTATACATATATATAATCTTGTTTCTTTAAAATATAAAATCTTAAGTACTTGGTTGGAAATACCATATCAAAGGTTTAAAAATATATTTCAAATCAAGTTTGTTTGTACCACTCTTTTATTTTCTTTTTCTTTTTTGATGAGTGGTTTTTCAATCAAATTATGTTTAACCTGTTGCATTTTAAAAATTTTTATATGTTTTGAGATTAAGTTTTTTTAATTAAAACTAATGGAATCTACAAGGCAATGTTTAGAGTTAAGTTTTTAAAAGTCTGAATCCTCTTAAGAATTCTAAAAGAATATTTTAAAGATGTTTATGTAAAGATTTCTTGATAAAGGGTGTGTTACTTGCTTTGGTTTTAAGAAAAAACATAAAAGCCATTAATAAGTTTGAGTCACGGTGTTTTAAACTCCATGTTCTAATTTTTTAACTATCGATCAATTGAAAGTGCAATTGTACTTAACCATCTTCTCTTTTTTTAGGTCCCAGTTGTACATTGTTAAAATTTGTAATAACATTCTTTTCTGAAACTATAAATTCAATACTCACCACATGAGCTTCTTTCCTTATTATTTCTACTATTTATTTTGCTAAATTGTATTGTCAGTGGTTTTATTAAGAAAGGTCTTTGGGGGCTAGAATCCTTGATATCTTTTTTGTTTGGGAATGACTACTTATTGCCTTATATATTTATGTCAGATAGGGTGGATATATTATTGTCATATTTGTCTGCCTCATCGCATCAGTATTTTATAAGATTGAATGTTGTTGAATTAGGGAATCTGAGACCTACCTATTTTTGTCACCACCCCACCTTACAACCACTCTATGATGAGTAGACTTTTTTGTTTGAATACTAGGAGATTCCTTTCTTTATCCATGAGTTTGATAAATAACTAGGAAATATATCGTACCTATTCTTGCTGGAAGATATTGTGTCCTTTTGATTTGTCAGTTCAAATTTGTAGGTTTTTTGGGGGTCAGAAAATTTTTCTTGACTTGTAATTTTAAATATTTTTCTTTATCTTTTTTGGAATTCTTTCCCTTAAAGATACCAGTCAAACTTGGAACTTTGGAACAAGGGTGAGCACTTGTTATTTGCTGCATAAGTAATAAATAAATATAA